AGTTGATAAAAAAAATTAACCTCTAAAGAGCACGATCGTGCTTGATTTAATTCGTAATAGCTGCCTTTTCAAAGAGCTAAATGTTCTTATCAATCGCCTCGGGCCATCAACAGTCTTCAGTCAGAAGTTTAAGTTTTTAATCTAATTTTTGTAAGCGCTTTTAAATTCGCATTCCCAAACCCGGAGCAAAGTAAGTCCCTTGCCCTTTCCTTTCTATTATCATCTGTACGAGTGACTGGGCCGAGACAGCAAGCACACTCTCTCTGTTCCATATTTTTCGCCCAAGAACTGAGAATGGCAGCCATTTGATCCTTTATCCTCTCTGTACTTTCTGATTTTCTTCAACCTTAACATCAGTATACATATTCTCCCTACTGTTCTTTATACATTTCCTTGGGTGCCGACAAGGAGAATTTGTTTAACAATCAAGACCTTTGTTAGTTGGTAACCTAATGTTTGATTCAGGGATGATATTGTAAGGAGAAATTAGATGTTAGTAACTCCTGAGGGTTAAATGGTGTATTCGCGTCCCTCTACTTGACGGAGAACATTGCCTAGTTCCAAAGATTCTTTATTTCGCCGTGGTTACCCGTTTCGTTTGAGTCACCTGGAAAGGGCGAAAAAGTGACTCCTTGTTGCAATTACGTCATCGAGGTAAATTGGCCTTAAGGGCCTGAGAGGCCGTGGAAGAAATCTCCAATCAGGCAGGGTTGCCAGCTCTGAGTAGTGGTCGCTGTTCTGCACCTGGGCGGTATAGTAGAACTTTTCTACGACGAAATACCCAGCGGACAGTGCAAAGTAGTCGTTTCGTAATAACCCAGTCTTCTTACACCTCCACCTCTATTTACTTTTAAGAATGTTCAAAGCACCATTGAAAATACAAATGCGATGGAAGGTAACCGAAGCTAAAGGAAGAGGGATCACCGGCGTCCTTGTATCACCTTAACGATATGCTCTGAGGACATACGAGTAACCTGCAATCATGCGTTGCTTTGATATGACAGAGGAAGAAATACGCTGTAGCGCGAAAATTGGAACTAAACCATCGATTTTTGCGCTCCCACCAAATAAAAAAACGATTGATCGCACGCCAAGGTTTAGCTGTAGAGGTATCTGTGGTGTATGGAGTTAGTGTGATATGTCACTTATAGCTTTTAAACTCGCTCATAGGGTCTCTTAGCAGCAGGGTAACACACCTGTTTCTTTAATAAGATGGTAATTTAAAGACGGTAGCTCTGATGCAAGATCGAACACTAGGGTCCATTAGGGAGACCCTTGTAGCAATAAGGACATCAAAACTTGAAAACCTTAAATTCGATTTTGGCGGGAGGGGGGTGGTCGGGTGTGAAGCTCCATTTGCAAATAAATGTCTATACTCATTGACGTACCCAAGACAGGAACTAGACTGGGTTGGCGCTCTCTCGCTTAAAAAGGAAAAAAAACTTTACTTAAAACCTGTCTTTTTTTCTCTCTTTTATTAATAACGTACGATATTGTTAAATTTACTTCATTAAGTTTTAAGAACGCTATAAGTTGTAGGACGGTATTTACCAAAAATATTACCCCACTGTGAAATCGTCTTTTAAAAATATCCAGGGATTTTATTTCAAAAGAGAAAAAATCTAATCTCCTAGCAGGTTTAAAGTAAACTTTTTAAATTGTTTGAATCTTATTTTCCCCTTAATTGTAGCTCTTTTGAATTCTGAGTTACTAAATACGAGCGAATGTTTCTCCTTAAACTGTTTCTATTTCAACGAACATTTACACACATTTACTTGATATCCTCATAAATTTTCTATTTACCATGAAAGCAGCATCAAAACAGTATAGTGTGAACTAAAATATTATTTCCTACATATGGCAAAGAAAGATACCCCCACGCACTCTCCTTCAGCGTGCATAAGCGCTGATGTGCTCTAATGCTTTCAGTTATGTGAAATCTCCCTACAACATCGATACATTACCCAGTAAGCAGTCAATAATGTGCAGCGTTACCAGCTGGAGGGCATTACTTTGATAAAATACCAATTTCTCGAGGAAATTTATGACAGTCAGAGGGAAGAGTTGTGAATCAGATCATAAGAGCGAAAGCCTGCACAGCATTCACCTTCAAAGTGTTGAAAGAAACATTTGAGGACAGAAAGCCTTTGTAAACAAAACAATTCGATCTCCTTCTTTCCTTGAAAACGATCAATAAAGTCTACAGAAAATAACAATGCTTAAATCAAGGTCCCACTGACTTATAACAATTAACTTCGGCAATATTGTTAATAAGTTTCCCAGTCGTCTGTTGAAGATCTTTAGCTTTGCAGTAGGGTACAAAAAAAAAGAAGGAAAAGGCCCAAGCATTAGCTATCTACAATATGGCTGTACACTGCAATTTATGGAGCAACTGTTGCATTGGGTGCTGCAGTCGCTATCTGAACTACACCTTCGTACAAACTCTCATCATAAAGGACACCTGGAAAGAAACCACGTGAGAAGAAAACAAAATCACCAAACAATAAACACTGCCTGATCACATTACGCTGTGGTAGGAATTCCCTAAGTGGTTTAACGTGTGCTAGGTAGTCGGATACTGCTCAAACTGCTAATAAGTGTTATCTTGACTATCCCGTGATTTCATCATTTTGCCCTTATCTCCGTTTTCCAATTTCCTCTTCAATAATTGCTTACTGGCACATGAAAAGTAGATTTTGGGTACCGAACGGTAGCCTTTCTGTATCTTCTCGCACAGAAATTGTGGAGAAAAAGGGAGATATGTCACGGTTTAATCACTGATGACATTAATTTGAGCAATTTAAAAGCAAAATTTGTAAGGAAAAAGAGAGATGTGTCTAAGTTTGACTACTAACAAAATCCATTCGCCAGAGACCACAACGTCAAATAGGTAACACGAGTATGCATATTCTCCATTCTGTTCCCTTAACCTTTCCCATGGTACTGACGAGGAGAGTCTATTTGAAAATCAAGAGCTTATTTAGTTGATCATCTCCTTTATTCTCGTGAACTTATCATTTGATTCAGGAGTGATATTGTAAGGAGATACTAAATGCTAGTCTTTTTTGACTTTTAAGAGTCAAAGGTTTAAGCGAGGTAAAACACAGATGATAATCAAGTCGTGATTAGATTGAGTTTTGGCACTTAATTGATTGGGAAGGTGGGACGAGTTTTCTTGACCAAGAACAGCACGCTATATGAGAATACAGTGAAGAAAAGCTCGTGCAACCCCGGATTAGTTTTGACGATATATCTTAAGATATCCTTTCAATGTACTGTGATTGGCTGAAAAAAAGGTACCATTTTATGTTCACCTTAGGTCTGACTAGCCGCTCTATCACTCTCGATTCCTGAATCCAATGTATCGGAAGTAACACTAATAAATCTCACCTGCTACACAAGCAGTCATGAAACATGCAACAGTACCAGCAATAAGGGTCCTGATTGCTATCTTGGACATGTCCGGTACACGACTAGGAGCCATGGGCCCCAGACCTCCAAGCACAACCCCGACGGATGACAAATTAGCAAACCCACAGAGAGCGTAGGTGCTAATGATTTCAGAACGTATCTGTTTGGACAGATGCAATTAAAAAAGATGTACGTTACAAATCTCACCTGCAACGCATGCCGTCATCAAGCAAGCAACTGTACCCGCAACCAGTGCACGTAAGGCAACCGTGGCCAAGTCTTGTCGTCGTGACGGGGCTAACGGAGCCAAACCTCCAATTTGAATTCCGATCGAGCTAAAGTTGGAAAAGCCACATAACGCATACGTGGCAATAATCTCCGAGCGAATCTGTTAGAAAAGTTCGGTAAAGAGAGAATTGTGTTAAGTGGTTACAAGTTATGTGGTGGCAAAAGTTGCTGAAGATGACAACTTTGTGTTTCAAAGAGTATTGATCATGAGAAATATGAAGTGATACAATAGAAACGAGGAAGGAATCTCTTAGAAAAGAAGAGAAGAGACTGTGAAGAAGGGGCACAATACTGGGTGACAAGATATTAGATATTAGTATGAGAGATCCAATGTAGGAAGTAAAAAAGAAAGACTATGGTGAAGCAGATATCCATTACTGGGTGACAGTAGAACATTTACCGAAGATGAAGAGCTTTTGTTACAAGGATTAAGAACATTGGAGATGGCCGAAGTAGTGATCCAATAAAAGTGGAGGTATAAGTGAATGAAAACTAGATTAACGTGAGTGTAGAATGGTGCTAAAACGAATGAAAACTGTGTTAAGAAAAGTGCTATTTAGAATAACTAAAATGAAGAACATGTTAATACAAGTGCAAACTACATTAAACCAATTAAAACTAAACTAAAGACGAGTGCAAACTAATGCCAAGAATGAAAACTGTATTAAAAAGAGTGCGAACACGAACTAAATCGTTAACAACAAAAGTAACTATAGAAAAATTAAATAAAACAGATATCTATGTTAGGACAAGTGGAAACTAGAATGAAAGCAAAGAAAACTGAATGGGAACAAATGATATTATGAACGAAAAAGCAACAATTCGAAAATTGCGATTGACAAATGAAAGGCAATTGTAGTGCAATAACAAAACGGCACTTAAAAAAAAGTCAAATGAAAATTATTTTGGGTTAATGTTCATGAATAGGAAAAGCTGATCCATCAACTATTGCTTTATTAAGATCCGTAAAAATTACTTGATGTGAAATTAGGGTTAACGGGATAATTTTTCTTACAGTAGCAACAGAACTGTTTGTAAGTTCTCAGGGTAAAAAAGGTTAAGTTCACTGAGGTCAAGACTAATTGAAGATATATTTTAGGTAGACTAACAATTTCATCTTCCTTGCGATTTCAATGCGTCCTCCTTGCGATTTAAATGCGTTAATCTGTAACTAGGAAACAACAACAAACTTAAGTTATCGGTTGAACGTTGTTATTGTGATATAATTATCTCAATTACATGGAAATGTAGAGCGAATAGAAGAGAGAATTACTGATCAAATCTTAAAAAGCCAGAGGGTTAGAAATTAACATATTTATTACCTTGTCACTTTTAAGAATGAGCTGTTCCAAAAGTGGAGAATTTCACATGATTTTTTTATTTCCTGTTTTAGCTGTTATAAGATAGGTTAACAGGTTGTAAGTGTCGAAATTAACCTCTAATTCGTATGTAATTTCTAAGGGCAGCAAGCAGAAATAAGATTAAAAGATTATTTTCCCAGTGTCAATTTCTGGGTTACCATTGTATGGTTCTGATTTAAATTATTAATTAAAAAATAAGATCTGAAGTTTAAACCTCCTTGAAATGTTATGTTGAACTTTGCTTAACTAAAACATTTCACTTAGCGTACTTTTCAAATTTCACAAATCCACATAAATCTGACAAATCAGTAATTGATGTTACTATTGTTAAATGAGGTTTCATCATTTATTCAACACTGGAAATATTAATAAGGAGTGAAGAAAAGAAAGATTCAGAGGCAATTATTACACAACAAAAAGAACCTAAATTGAAATTTATCTGAGTACCTTTTACTCAGTTGTGGGTTATTCATGGTCAAAAATAATGTTACAGGTTTAGAAACAATAGAAATCAGGAATTAATTTTTTTTACACCAAATAAGAATCCTATTCATACAAATTGATTAAAGCTTCTATTTCCCCGTGACCACATTATCTTCATGTTATCCTTCAAATACTATACATATTTATGGAGTTCACAAATTTTCAAATTGATAGATGATCCTCAGGGGAACCACTGGAATTGTTAATGTTTAAAGGTTAGTCTTCATAGGTCAAACAAGAAGTTTTCACAATAGGGATGGCAAAGGGTTAAAGCTCATTCAATAATGAGAGTGCACTTGATGGATTCAAGTTCATTTAACAAAAATCTACAATTTCATTCTTCTATGGTTAAATCTAGCCTTAAGGGTTTAAAGAAAATGGTAATTATAAAAACTAAAACAAAAGCAAAGAAACAAAGGTGAAATTTCAATTAACATTTTTAAAAATATTTACTGAATCTGTATGGGAGACTGTTTAATCAGGAGCTGTAGAAGAGGGAAAATGTAACATTCTTTATTATAATCATATTTTAGATGTTTGATCAAGCATATTAAACAGATGTAAGATTTTCTTTAGAATTGTCTTCAGTGTGAGAAAATCTCAGATATTATATTCATGTTATTCACTTTGAGAAAAACTGAATTCAGTCAGGAGCCCATTATTCGGTGCATTTAGTATTAAGTAGGTAGAACAATGTAAAATGTGTTTACTCATTTGACATACATATTAATTCCAAGAACAGAGAGAAATAATAGATTTGCAGTCAGTGTATTATGTTTAAGAGGTATGGCAACAATGGCAGTAAACATTCTTTATAACAAAAGGCAAACATGTCTTTAGGAAAATTTGTCTTTTGAGACTGCCCTACCAATGATTTAAAATGAATGTTAAGTGTTAAAAAAACACACGACAGAGCAAAATAAAGGCAACTTTAGACATTCCATTTTTTAGTATTAGATTTCTTGATATTAAAATGCAAACTTTCTCTAATAACAAATACAAAGGTGAAGCAAATTTACAATTTTATTGCGATGTAAGTTTGATTGGAAATTAAGTAAAAAAAAAATTCAAGAGTGAAGAAAAAACATTTTAAAAGACCTGAAATTCACCAACATGTACATCTAGCTGTAATATTTGAGTCTTTTTGAAAGATCAAGTGTTAATGATTCTACATGGTTTTTACTTACCCTTAGCCCAAGAAATAGGTTACTAGGCAATTATGTTGTAAATTTAATGCTTTCATGTAAGATTTTAATTTCATCATGAAAAGTTATCATAAAATAAAAATGCAAAAAGATCCAGTAAGCAAAAGTTTAAAAACTTTCAAATTCTAAACAGTTATTATAAAAGAGACAGGAATGTTGTAAGAAAGGCCAGTATGAACAGTTAGTGTATGCATTACAACCCATATTAAGTTTGGAATACATGATAAATTAGAAGTTGAATTGTGAATCTTCAGGTTTAGTGTTTTTGCAGACATTGCATACTAAACATGTGATATGTTAAAATAATTAACACAAAGTGGGTTTGAGGGATTACATCAAAGAAAACAAGCTGTTTATCTGATTTAAGAATTGTTTTCCTCAACATTTTCATAAACAAATAATGAGATTATGACAAGAATGCTGTTAAGTTTGCAATTGCAAACTATAACCCTATGTTTACAACACAGCCATTAGTTCATATCAAGGGGAATATTTTGTTAGCTGATGGAAGAATGGAACATGCATCACAGCATTTAATTTCTTTCCATTTTCATGGGCACATGCACTAAGATTATGTCAAGAATGCAGTTAAGTGAACATTTGCCAACTTCAAGCTTGAGTTTATGACACAATTGTCTTTTTTTTTCTCTCATCCATCAATGGATTATGGTGACAGTTGCCATAACATGCAAAGACTGGTTGATGGGTGCTGGAACCTGTTCAACTAAAGCCAGCTAACATTTAAAACCAAAACTATGATCCCATTTAAACCATTCAAGAAAATAAAATTTTGACAAAATACTACCGACTGTAAATCTAAATATGACTGTGTAAAGCTCAAAAGGAACTCTTGACTATATGTCTTTGACACTGCTATGATCCTAAGTATGAAAATAAATTAATATCATGCATTTACACAAAACCAAAATTCACTGAGTTTTACTTGAAGGAATGCACCCACTAAAATAAAAACAACTGTTCAAATGCACAGGCAGGAGACAAATTTTGCATGCTGAGAATTGCAGAACAATTCATAACAACTTATATGAAAGATGTACAATCTGTTCTACTAAGCTATTTTCAATTCCTGAATGCAACACTACATTATACCTATCTAAGGCAGCTCTGTCTGTCTAAACTATACCAAACACCTTCCATATTCATTGTTTTGCACTCAGTATGTTAAGTTCATCATCTACAAGTATATTTAAACAATTGTTTTTCTTTAGAGTGTGGGCATTCCCTTTAAAGACAGCAAAGCAGGAAGACAGCTTTGAAAGAATGGTAATACCATTCATGCATCTAAATGTTTTGATTATGAAGCTTCCATCATCTCTTACAACATATAAGAACCATACAACTTTAACTTAACAGTAGACAACTTCATGCTGTGTACATTTTGTTATATTCTATATAACACTCACCGAAATTGTGCGCAAGCCATTCATTTTTATTCGGTTATCAATAAACCCAGCAAGCCGTGTATAAGCCACAAACTCATTTAGGAATGTTTTAATACCAAGAAGCTCTGCAACAACATCTGAATCTTCCCAAGGAACACCCATGATAAAGGCAACTGGTCGTAGTACATATGAACAAATATACTGAAAGACAAGAAGACAAATCCTCTAGTGATTTTTACATATTTCCTTTTAAGCCAATATGAAGCTTCCTAGAGTTGGAGGCTCACAACATTTCTACAAGCACACCTTTAATGCTTAAACCTACAAGTATCCCTTCTAATGAAGGGAAATTCTTCACTGATTTCTGTTTACACCTTAAACATAAAAGTACTTTGAGGTTGTACAATATTTAAACCTTGAGTACTCACTTTCCAACCTTGTTGCAAGTCACAACAAGGCTCCATAACATTCACCAACAAGAGCATTCTGCTCTGGTTTTTTGATTCATTGTGCAAACAAATAGATTTCTCTGACTAAGTATACTGATTTCTGGTTTATTCAATCACAAACAAAAGTCAAGATAAATTAAATCACTTCAAGGTAATAGAAAATTTTGACCTAGTTAATACCTCAAAACTAAGTTCTGGTTTTCCAACCATTGATCCAAGCCACGACAAGACTCCATTGAAAAACGCCAAAAAGGCAAGGAAAGCAATCAGATTGGCTGCAATGTTGGCAACAAGAGCAATAGCAGTACTGGCACCTTTGGCAGCCGCTTCAATAATATTCCTTTCATTTCTACAAGACAAAGACAAAGTCAAAGTCAAAGATCCATGAACAGGAGTGGAACAAACATTCAATAAAACACCCAACCAAGAGGATTATGCAGAAAGTCAATACATAAAACCACTAGCACCTAACACAAAGTTTCATACTTTGTCTCAAAATGTGGTCATAATCGAAAGGGTTGTCAAGCTGAGCTGGCAACTAATGCATTTCACCTTTTACTTTGAAAAGCACCCATACTATTCTTAGTGTTTCAATATGGAAGCATGACATTGCACTGAGACTTTGTATCAAAGTCTAGTTACTAAAAAATCCTTTCAACCCTGAATCAGACACCACTATTCACTTGGCTTACCCTTTGGGCAGTTCAATATTTTCATCATCAAGAGTTTCTGGAATTTCTGTTTCTGGGTACATTAGCTTTGAAATGGCAAGAGCGGCTGGCGCAGACATCACAGATGCACTCAACAAATGAGAGGCTGATACACCATACTCGATGTAAGCTGCCAATACACTTCCTGCGATGGTAGCAAATCCACCTGTCATTATTGCATGAAGCTCTGACATTGTGACATGTTCAAGAAATGGTCTAATCATAAGGGGTGCTTCAGTCTACATAGAACAAAACAAAAACAGAACACAAGAATGAATATTCAAATATTTCCAAGTTGAGGAATCCATCACTCTCTCAATTCATTTTCTAAAGAACCTTCTTGTCTGCCTCAAGAGAGATATTGCACTTAAGTCCTGATGGTTTTATACACATGCATCAAGTACACAAAGAATGGCAGAATTTTTTCTGAAAAGAAGACAGTGGTGAATGTGAAGTACAAGTCAGGCAATATTGTCTTCTTGGCAACCTGGCAGTGAATTAAATGGTAACAACCAGATTCAAGGATCAGAGTTTATAAATTAGATTACACATGTACAGTACCTGTCCAATAAAGATATTTCCAGCAGCATTCAAACTCTCCACACCACTTGTCTTCATTGTTTTCTGCATAAGCCACGCAATTTTCTTGATAATCACTTGCATGATACCAATATAATAACACAGTGAGATAACTGAACTGAAGAAAATAATAATGGGCAGCACCTGTTGATTAAAAAATTAAAAACTTTTTTAGATTTCAGTTTCCCTAACAACATCAAACGTAGAAAAAATATCAATTCATCATGTTATTTTAACCACAGGTCAAACAACTATAATTTACTTCAAGTATGCTATTTCTTATCAGAATCCTTTGCTTGCTTTTGTGTAACCCAGTTGATAGTGCAGGTGTAATAAACTACAAAGGCTTAAAATAAGAGCCTTGACCCTTTAACTGCCAGGATCTGATTGTTAATTCTCCCCACCAGCTGCTACACATTTCCTTGTAAATAAGTAACAAGAATTTGTTGTTAAATCAAGAGAAAACTTCTACCTGATAAGTTTGAGTATTCTCATTACCTGTTTGTAGGATAGTGTATGGATAATATAAGGAGAAATTACATGTTAATCACTTCTGGGACTTCAAGGGTTAATCCAAAACACACACTTGCAATCTTTCTCCCTTTTCCATAAGGTGGCAAAGTTCTGTTCTACACTTGGCCTCCATATGATAATTTTGGCCTAGTATATTAGAAAATTAGCCCCTAAATAGTGTCTAGGAGGTAAGGGTTTGACTGATGTATCCTCTCCAATAAACTAACCATAAGTAAACAGTTATCACTTAGCAAACAGCTGAATGTCGTCTACAATAAAGCACATTAATGTATACCTGGAAGGCAAAGAAATGTTCTCTGTAGCCTTCTCCAAACACAAATGCAGCCCCAACACTGGTGTAATCCAAGAATGCTGTCACTTGATTTCCTGCACCTTTGAAAGCTTCAAAACCAAATTTGGTACGAAGAATAAGCAAGCCAAACACAAACTGTAAAGCAAGTCCCCAGATAACTGGTCGCCACTTAACCTAGCAATGAAGAAAGGAGAGTTGAAAAACAATTTGTAAACAATTCTTAAGTCTACTTACAGTGATCCCCCCTCTCTTTCCCCAGTGTTAATCTGACAAGTAATGAGAGAAAAAAGGATGTAAAGAATTCCTCATGTTTAATTGCTCTTTTCCACTCACTAGTGCACTAATTCATTCAGTTTTTGAACAAGTTAGAAAATAAAAATAACATGAGTACCAAATGTTCTGCCATTGAATATCAATAACAGATCTCACCATTACTACACATGCAGTTTATTCAAGTTTTCATGCTAATGCTGTATCAAAATAATAATAATAAATGAAAAACAAACAAACATGAGTCTTCCATGACTTGGGGAAATATTTAGAGGCTATCCCCAATGGTTTCCACAGCCATAGGTGTCCCATACCTCGAGGATTTTTCCCCCCTGACCATTTCCAGCCACCCAACTCAAAGTGTGCCCCACTCATCCTAAATTTGAAATAAACTCATTACTTATTTGAGGATTTGCATATCTACTGAATGATGATTACTTCTAGTGGATGTTCAGCCAAAGAATTTGAAAAAGAGGGTGGAATTTACCTTTCTTGGGTGTTTTGAGAAAATCCAACAGAAGAGAATGTTCACAAGCAATCCAGCAAGGGAAATAAAACGTTCAGGTTTCTTAGCAGTGTCCAATCCGAAAAATACTCCAAGTAATACCAACACAATAACCAAAAGAACCCTAGAAAAGAAATCATTTGTTCTGAGAATGGGTCATTCAATCTTAATTTCTTTGTCTTTTATTAAGAGATTTAAGTGAAAGTTCTTTACAAGGTTGAAGCAATTATGACTCATGTTTTAATAAATCTT